TAGTAGTGTCTGCAGCTCGACAGAACTTTCGCGAGTGACTGTATTGAGTGTTAGTATTGTTGACAAATGCGCGTTGAGAGAGCGCTGACGATCCTCTAACCGAGAGGTCAAAGCTTGCCACGCGATTTCAAAATTGTCTGATGTGACTGGAAGATTGGCAACGCACTCGAGGGCGCGACCTCTTAAACATGACACAAGATAATGCATTCGAGCGAAATCAGTCAGATCTTTGTTATTGCGAATAAGAGCTGTAAACCGATCGCGAAATTGTTCCCATTCGTCAAAGGTTCCGTCAAACGGAGGCAACCGAATTGGCGGTAAGTGAGCGAGCGAGAATGAGGAAGCCTCGGGTCGCGTCGTCGCATTTGAAAAAGACTGGTTCGGACTCACAAAAGGTTCCAACTCTTCGAGGAGATCAGCGAGAAAGTCAGATGCAGCATTGAAGGCGTCCTCCGTTGCATCGTAGTGTTCGTCTTTGAAGTAGTCGAGCGAGGCCTTGGTGGTTGAGGGTACAGCTCGGGATAGTAAATCGTGTCCTTCCTGGTACTGCGCCCAAATATCCTTGAGGGAATTGATTCTTGAACGCAGTTTAGCGGGAGTCAGGTTGCCCTTGCCGACCTTCTTCGCGTTCTCGATTGTGCGCTCGATCGAGCGTTGCAAGCGCACTTGTTTCGTGAGCTGCTGTTCCATGGTTGTAATGAGCCGTCGTGCACTCGGTCTTACTCACACGATCACTCGCAATCCGGCTCGAAGGACCAACAATGTTCGCAACGTGGCCGTAGGTTTTGTGGCAAGCGAACTTCCCGGACAGCTCGAGCGATTTGATCGTGTGAGCTCGGACGACGCACCGAATTTGTATTGTATCTAGATCAGTTGGTGTTCGATGTGTCCGATCGGAAAGGTGTTAATTAAGAAAATCGCTTCAAAGACGAAACAAATTTAATCTTAAGTAACAAATAATACACAATTTAATATATAACGAGTGAATGTATGGTTGAAACGGAGTTGACCATTACTGATGGCAAACGTGCCGTGGTCGAATACTGAGTACCGGCGATAAGACGGTTCGAAAACGAAAAAGAGACGTTATTCTTGGTTGTCGCCTTTTAAAACGATGATTCTCGGCGCTTGGCCACTGCGGATTGGCCACGGCGCTTAAGTTTGATATGACGATATACAAAAAAACTTGATTCTTCTTTCTAACGTTCGCAGCCGCTTTCGGAGTTTGATGTTAGGCGATAGTTGCCGTGGCAACGGCACGCACAGCGTGTTATTCGTAGTCGGTTAGCCCATGAAAACAATTAGGGTCACAGCTTGATAAAGCGTGGATCCAGGCGACTGTTATGATTCGAACTGTTATCCGAGTCGACCTCTTCGGGATCGAACGATCGATCTCGAACAAATCAAAATATTCGCCGTTGCTTTGTATCACTTTAAACTATCTTTCGGATAGTTTATGCCATCTTAGAAAATACTGTATTTTTTCACACAATAAGGTCGTCAAATTATTTTTTAATCTCATCCATTAACTGAAAGTGCGTATTGAACAAGAGCACTGCAAAATTCGTAGGACATTTTCCTTTGCCAGTATTTTCATAATAATTCTTGACTTAAACGGATTAATTGACGTTGTTAGCAATCCACAGTAATTGTTTTATCCGTTACGACAGCTCATAATAAATCACGTTTTTGATATCCTACTAAATGTAGAGCAGAACAGAACAGAGCATTCAGATTTCTGAAATATTTACGACCGAATTTATTCATGATTTTTTATATTTCGAATTGTCATAGAGTATCCATTTTTAATTGCTTATAAAAATTTTCCATAAGAAGAATTTTCTACATTGTTTATTGAGAAAAGAAAAACACGCTGCTAAATGTTAAGTTTTGTTAGCTTCAATGAGCAAAATCCATTTTCCTACCAAATACCTTTGCTAAAAGAGAAACAAATCAATTACCTATGCTACTGTACCCATGCTATTGTATCATTTTTTCTTGTTGAAATTCGTAAAAAATACAGTGTCGGATATGTATCTTATTTGTTGCTGTTTTTAACGATACTAAACTGAATACTTTTTAAGGTTATATTGAACCTTTTGCCAAGCCAACTGTCATTTTGAATAACTAAATATCAATACTGCATAATCGCAGAAAAGTAGGAGAATTAATTGATTTTAAAATGACTTCTTAACTACTTTTAAAAAATGTGGATTACTCATTTAGACATCAAATAATACAGAGCCTTCAGGACGTTGTTTGTCGATTAGGTTGAAATCACAGCTTTTAAACCGCTTAAATTGAAATACATACATACATCGTACCATACAATACCTTTGCTAAAAAAGAAACAAATCAATTACCTATGCTACTGTACCCATGCTATCACATCCATGCTATTATATTAGGTGGTAAACTTAGTTCCTGCGGTTTTTTTATTTAAAAAACTCATTTATTTCGACATCAAAAGCAAAAAATACATTAATCGAAGTATTTTCCCTGGCTAGCTATACATTTTTCCCATCTTTCGGGCAACGCGTAGATTTCGCGACGATAGAACGATTGGTCTTTTGATGCAATCCATTCGTCGATCCATTTTCGCACATCCTCGTAATTTCTGAAGTGTGTATCCACCAAGCCGTACTGCATCG